AACTAGTCTGACCCACAGACACACCCCAATGAAAGATTAGACCATTACAAGCTTTTACTTGTTGTTAAACAAATGTTTAAACAACTCTATTAAACTTGATAAATGCAATTTAATAATAAAGCAAAACACGAATGTAATAATATGAAGCAATCATTAAACATTTTGGAATCTTCAGTAATCTCGAGGTATGGAACAAACACAGTGGTAATTACGACATAAATATATTTGGTCCTATATAAGTAAACAATTTGAATACAAAAAAAAATAGAACAAGAGAAAAAAGTATGTTGCACAAATGAACTACATAAATTAAAATAGACTCAAATCAAATGAAGAATGTGTATTTTTTAGAGATGCAAGAAGAGTTTTTATGTATAGTGCCTTTTTTATTAGAAGTTCAGTATCCTGCTTGGCAGGTGAGATAATATTAAAGTTGGAAAGAGAAATCAGATGCCCTGTTTTTGCATTGTGCAGTTTGGTTTGGTTTGTTTTGAATTTCGTGCAGCTACATGAGGGCTATCTGCACTAGCCATCCCTAATTTAGCAGTGTAAGACTAGAGGGAAGGCAGCTAGTCATTACCACCCACCGCCAACTGTTGGGCTACTCTTTTACCAACGAATAGTGGGATTGACCGTCACATTATAATGCCCTCATGGCTGAAAGGGCGAGCATGTTTGGTGGGATGGGGATTTGAACCCGCGACCCGCAGATTGTGAGTCGAGCACCCTAACCACTTGGCTATGCCAAGCAGAGTTGGGAGGGTTTGTAACTTTTCTTCCAGTTTATAGAGATATGCCCATATGTTCAAATGCTCATTCTTTAAGATGACATTTGGTTTCACACATGTATAAGTAGATGAGGTGTGAACAATGGGTAGTTGGCACACAATCTTTAAAGTGGAAAAAATTTTTTAGTCTGATATTAGGTTTAAAAATAACTTGTAGGGTATAAAGGTAGTATGAGTACACTAGGTATCTTAGGTGACTTAACAAACATGTCAGTTAAAAATGAGTAAATTATTTTCTCCAAGAAATGGTTAGGGTAGCCATTTCGAAAAAGAATGCTCTGTATGAAAGAACTTTCCTTGTGATAGGCTGGGTAAGGAAAGGTAAGGTTTTAGGCCCTATTTAGTAGACAGAGAATGAATTTAAATTTCAAAGAAAAAGATATAAAAACTATCAAACTGAGTGAAAAGGCCAGTAAATATGTTTTTACGATAAACAAAAGTTGTAAAGCCCTTAGTATCATGATTAACCAGAACATCCAGAAAAGAAATAAGAGTTATTTGTCTCAATTTTTGAGTGAAGTGTATAGAGGGGAGTTGTGAACTAAAATATTCAGGAAAGTGTTGGATATGATCTTTAGGGTGGAAAGTAAGGAAAGTATCATCAACATACCTTCTGTAGAGAACAGGCTTGAAGCTTAAAAGACAACTGTCTATCCAGTTCTGTCTGTGGTGACAGATGAAAATGTTGGCAAGAGTTGGAACCCAGGGGTGGAGCCCAAGGTAATGTAATCTATCTGCTCATATAGAGCATTGTTAAAAAAAAAAGTCTTTTGTTGAGAGTTCAAGCATAAATTTGAAATCAGATTTAGAAGGTCCATAAACAAGTGTTTTTAGCAAAGAGATTAGAAAGTGCAATATTAGTGGATTCATCCAAGAGGATATTAGTAAAAAAAGAAGTAATATCGAAGCTAGTCGTCATGTGATTTCACAGGAAAATTAGAAGGTGTCAAATGTTGTAAGTTCATTCCTAGTAAAAGGTTTTAATATGGGTACAAGGAATTTAGCTAAATTATAACTGTGAGTGCTTTAGGCGGAAAGTATACGGAGTGGGGTGTGTGGTTTGTGAACTTTTGGCAGGCTAAATAATACTCCAGGTTGGGAACCTGTAGGATATAAATTGTTTTAAACACAATCAAAAATAATATCTCATTTTGTTACATTTCTCTGGAATTCCTGAGTTTCTCCTTTAAGTTGTAAATTATGGGACAGTGATTCTTTGTTTATACATTTGAACTTACTGCAATCGTTAAGAATATCAATAATTTTTTTTAAATAATTAGTTTTATTAAGGATAAGAACACTATTTCCTATGTTTGGTTGGATGATGATGAAGTTTTGTTATGGAAGAGTTCTTTAAAGCTGCCAGTTCTTCATCTAAAGGATATCCTACATGTGTTATAGTTATAGAAGATGGAGAGTGCCAAGTTTTTTAATTTAGTAGTAAACAGTTCTCATGTTTGCTCAGAAGTACTCTTGAGAAAAATAGGTAAAGATTTTATGTTCCGATACAAGGATTCCCAGGAATATAGGTAATTGGTGTAATTATGTTTTGAGAAAAAATTCAATCCTTTGGCTGGTGCATTTCCCAACTATCACTTAAAATTGATGTTGCTGCAGTTGAAGATGACTTGGTCAGGGGAGATCTTAATGTGAGTTATGTTTTTCCTCCCTCCCCATATGTTTGGGTACATCCTGATCACTATGTCTCTCAAGTAAGTGAGGGAGATCAGCATGCTGCACACTTCTAGGCCCTCAGATGAGCATGCCCTTTCTTACCTTCGTTTTGACTATCCATTTTTGGGTCAGTAGTTATTACCTCTTTGGGGGGTGGCTCCTGATTATAATGTTAGTCTTACCCATGCCCAATATTCTTGCCTTCATTTTACTCTAACCAGTCTTCTACTGTTTCTTTCTTTCATATATCTCCTCTCTGAGTCACTTAGGTTTTCTGTGGATACCCTGCACATTCTTTCCTCCACATTAACCTGAATTTCTTCCTTGGCTCTGGTGTTACACACGTGTTTTCTTTGCTGTTGGGATCTCATTGGTAGGAGCACTGTATTTGCCTGGGTCAATTTACCCTCTCCATATCTACAGGACTTACATCTTGCTCTGTTTTTGCAATGTCATGTTTTTGGTACTGTCCCAGAATCTATCGATCCTCGGGTTACATCAGCTCCTCAGCAATCCACTCTCATGTCAGAGCCTCATATGCTCCCTATTCCCATCTCCAATCCTTCATCTTCCCAACCCTTACCCATTCTTGCTAGTCAGGGTACTTCTTTTTGTTGATTTCCTCAATGACAAAACATCTGCTGCCATCAGTACTGGTCACTATGCTGTGTGTTCGGGACTGGTAAGAGCTCAACTATTAGACTTTCTTCCTCACTGGCATCCCTTCATTGAGAATCAATGGGTGATACAGGTTCTGTCAAAAGGATTAGTTGTCCAGTTTTTTTACCCTCTTATTTTCTCTCCTTTCCTCTTCCTTCAGATCCCATGTCAAAGGCAGCTTAAGAATCTACCAAACCTGTACAGAGATTAATTACTGAAAATAACAGATAGAATATAAAGTTTTTTCTTAAGAAACATTTGATAACTATCTGGACATTATAAAAATTTTGCATGACAAATTTTAAAATGTTCTGATGCATAAAAGTATTTTTTTATCTTAAAATGAAAATTACTTTGCATGATAGATAGGCAAGATGTGAAAAGAAAAAAAGGGCAAGAGAAAAACATTGTTTTACAAACCTTAAAACTTAAAAAAATTGATATTTTGTGTATGAAAGCATTGTAATGTTTACTGATAATCTGCCAAATTTCGTTAACGTTCGCTTACTAATTTAAAAGTTATAGCATGAAGACTATAACAAACACAAAATGGTTACGAGGTCTGTCCGAGGGACCAAGCCCATGCTGAAAGAGTTAATTGCATTATATAGAAGTTTATTTTACTGAGGATGGCAATCTGAATGTTGGGCAACTATATATAAGTATTGAAACCTTAAAAATACCAGTGTAAAACAATAATCATTTTATACTTATGTGTGTTGATTTATTTTGTAAAGCTTTGATAATTTTTCTTTAATTGGTTGTATAAGGGTTTGTTTGGTAAAATGTCTTTTTATGTTAACTTTAGTATTTTACTCACTGTCAGTGAAGTTACTCTTCTTCCTTCATTATCCCCCATTCATGTGGCTACAAACTGCGTCACAGATTCTACCTCTGAAAAATATAGAAAAAACAATCATATGATAAATCAATACCATATTTGAATAGAGTTGTTTAAACATTTGTTGTTAATTATCAGCTGCCCAGTGTCGGCTAACTATACGAAGAATTAAATTGTAGCGGAATGCTACAAGTTTTTCAAATACCTATAGAATGATAGGTTTCTTTTTATGAGTGTAAAATACACTTAAATACACCATTTCGAATACCATATTATTAGTATTGATGGAAATGTATATAAATGTTATTTATTGTGGAAACCCAATTATTCAAGTAATAGTAGGCTTATTTGAATTCTGAGTATTAGGTCTAATACATAAATGTAATGTAAGGCTTAGCTGAAACACTAAAACTTCTGAATTAAACTGTTTTGCTGTTATATCACCGAAGTTATAAAAAAATAAAGAATAAAAAACAAACCTTTCTAATAAATCAACATGAATATTGAGCATTCAACATAAACACCATCACTAACTATAAAACATTAAAACGTAACGCTTATTCACTCTCACACTGTTGAGAATGCTTTCACTCTCCTTTTTTTAGCTAGTGATATTAAAATTTCTACAAACTTTATATGAATGTCAGGAAGCATATCTTGTCATGACATACCTTTGGATGATGAAGTATTTTGGAGATTTAAAGTTGCTGATTCAAGAATGCTGGACAGTTGAGATGTTCTTATTCAAATTTGGTGTAATTAAGCTGTACATGTTGTTCCTGAAGTTTTGCACTTATCCTGATTACAACAAATATATCAAATTAGATCAAATATAGGCAAATAAATTGGAACTAATTTTCCTTTTATATTTTTTAATGGAAAATAATATTCTACATAATTTATAATATTTTTATATTATATTATATATTATATTTTATGAAATATATGAAAATAATATTTAAACACCAAAACAAAATACTATGTGTAGAATACATATTAGCCTATAAGTTACACTGCTAGGTGATGTACTCTTTTGCTTTTTATGTGCAATATAATATTCTTGTGCTGTTGCTACTTAATAGCACTATATGTTGTAGGATTACATTCTGGCTACATAGATAGAACATAATGTTATTATGTTGTTAGTACGAAGTGGCACAACGTTATGAAGTTACGTTATTTCTATGTATATGCTACGTATTATTCGGACATTACCAAACCATTATCATGTGACTATGTAGTAAATAGGTAGTGTGATTTCTGGGCACTATGCTTTAAAGACTTTTAAAACATTGACTTGTTAAAAGATATTCTCTCTGCTTTTTAAGGCATGTGGTAAGTAGATTGCATTTTGTTTCTGTCAGTGTTGAACTATACCCTTTCTGTATGATGTTTGTTTCAAATATAGTCTTGCTTTGTTAACTTGGTATTTGTTTTGTTTGTAGACTGCTACTCTTTATCCAGGAATTGTGTTTGGTACCTGTTTCTTCCTGAACTTTTTCATCTGGGGAAAACATTCCTCTGGAGCTGTAAGTGTTAATTTGTAAACCTTAAAGTACAGCAAAGTAAACTTATACTACATTGTATTAGCTGGGCATTTGGTAAAATGCTAGTATTTGTGATAATATATTTAAATATATTTAGTCTATATCTGAAAGTAAAGGTATTTTTAAGAACAAAATAGGAATCTGACATTTTATAGTACAATTAAGAAATAAGAAATAAAACTATATCAGAATATTAAAACATTTGTGTTTTTCATAATTAGTAGTGTCACAGAACAATGGAATGTATATACATGAAATACAATATTTATGAAAACTATGAATGCAAAATTTTTGTACCTAAAATCTCTTTAACCCTATGACTCCGGACTATGTTTTCAGAGTGAAGGTAATGTTGCTCTCGTCATATTTCACTACCAAAATATAATGAGTGGGTGAAATTGAACGTTCCTAAAAGTAGTTTCAGAAAAATAGAATATTTAATTTAATTTTTTTCTGCTATTTCTAATAAAAAGTTTGTTATTTAATGAAGTCATTTGCACTCGGACTCTGAATAGTTCACCTGGAAGGTGATTTAATTTAATTTTGTGTGTAAAAATACTATTTATTATTTTGCAGTTCTCATGTTTCATTTGCATAATCTCTAGAAGATCCTAAATGAATATCAAAGTTTTAGAAGGTCAATATTTATATTTTCATTTTCTCTACTATATTACTAACTCTAGCTATTATCCTCAATGTACAATGCAGTGAAATGGAACTTACCTTCATAGAATAGTCTTCAAATATCTTCTTTGGGTCATATGTGTAAACTCACATCTTTAATTTATAGTTTATTTTTAATGTTTTATTTTGATTCCCAATTCTTTTTTTTATTTATTTATGCCAAAACATCACCTGTTGCCCAAGAGACTCATTAGCTGCAGACAAAATGTTTCGCACACGTCCTCTATTTAGAAGTCTAGAAGCAAAAGGAGACAAATAAATAAACTTATAGAAATCATTAAACATTTCAAGTATGAATGTTGAAACACAAAGAATACATAATTAACTGAAATATAAAAGTAAAATCCAAATGCAGTTTAACTGTCTATCAAAACTAATGCATATAAGGCAAGAAACAATAGCCAGGTGCTAGGGACACTCATATACTTAAGGACATAAACAGAAGTTTTCTTTTCATTTGAAAAATAATCTATTACTTAAGTCTCCTATAGCCTGGAGAAACTAACATGAAATCTGCTCTTTCAAGTAGTTATAAGCTTCCCAAGAAAGTATACATAATCCTGTTGATTAGCAACAAATTGCTTTGGAATGTGAGCCTGGTGTCTAGCAATTTGGTAGGGAGATAAAACCATTTCCTAAGACTTCTAGCAGTAGAAAAACGAAACTAATGTTTGAAATTTGGCCCTGTATGTGTAGAACTTCGTAGAGGTACTGAAAGTGAGCTGTAAAGATATACAAGCAATCAAACTTAAGGTCTTTCAACAATATGTGCATCACATGAAAAAACAACTGAATATTTAATTGTTTGTTTCAGAGGTTTCTTTTGAATTAAAAGAATAATAACATGGATGATATGAAACTTTGAATTATAATGTATTTGATATTGCTAATTTCATTAAATTACATTGAGAGTAAATTGGTTTAATTAAATTTTGAATTTAACTCGGTAACACTTTGTGACATGCAAAGAAGGCTATTTAAAAAGTGTTGTTTCTTTCATCTAAGTTCACAAATACACATTACATTTGTGATACTTGTGTTTTTAGTTTTAATACTCATGTTCAAACTAAATTTTTCTCATATGAATTAATAAAGCAAAAAGACGTTAATGAAATAACAAATTGCTCCTGTATTTTAGGTTCCATTTCCAACTATGATGGCACTGTTGTGCATGTGGTTTGGTATCTCTCTTCCTCTAGTTTTCTTGGGGTACTTCTTTGGTTATCGCAAGCAACCTTATGAACACCCTGTGAGAACCAATCAGATTCCTCGACAAGTACCAGACCAGGTGTGGTACATGAATCCTGTGCTTTGGTAAGTTATTATTTTGAAAGATTTTATTATCATACAACTCTTTCTATATGGGCTCAGTCATTTTGACTGACTTTGTAACCAGCAGGTAACCATGAAAGTATCCATACAATAACTTGTAACATGGTATGTGTATCTTCACGAAAGTTAGCAAGTTTTGGTAAATATTACCAAAAAATTTTTAAAGCAAGTATCTTAGCTAAAGATTTGTCTATAAATATATATGGAGTCAGAATGTCAACTAGTCCGAGTGATTTTCATATTATGATTAAGAATACTTTTATTAATCTTATAGTTTTTCAAACTCATTTGCATAACCTCTAAAACCTTCTAATTGAATATCAAATGTTTTTTTTTATGTAAAACTTTATACTGTATATGTTATTTTCTCTACCTAACTCTGTATGGACTCAATCAATTTTAACAACCTTGTAACCACCACAAAAAAATATGATATAAATCTAAATTACCCTTTTTGTTTTAGAATGATTGCAGATTGCAACACAAAACTAGAATTGTTTATCCTAAATAGCTTAAGGCTTGTAACAGTCTACATCTGTGCAGGTTTTATGCGTGTGGATGGGCAGGATTCTTTATAGTAGGTGTCTGTGACTTGTTGGTGATAAATTTAAACAGTAAACGGACAACACACAATCCACAGGTTTTTTTAAATTATATATTCAAAACAAGTCAAACGTATGAACAAAAAATTAGTACACTGTTGGTATTCACAGTTGTATCCAGAGCTTTGAATAATTGTTTCTTTTTCTTCAGAGTCCACACAGGTAGGTTCAATCACTTTAGAACACCCTTTGACAAGACAACTTATTCTGCTCTATCTCCGTTATTACAATGCAAACTGTGAAACTTACTTTAGAAATTGCCTGTTACAGCTAAATTGACAATCACACAGTTTAACTTCACATTTAATTTCATTAACTTAACTTCCTTTCTGTATCTGCACATATTGATAACACACGACAGAAAAATCTAAAAATATCTAGTCCTCTAGTAAGAACAGTATGACACATAACGCGAAAAACTTAGAATATTCACATTAAATGACGTCAACAGTATTACAAATGCCTAGTAAAACAATTAAACTACATACGCAACTTGCGACTCATGACTCATACAGAGTTACGTAACAAAACTTGTCATAACTATCACTTTTAAGATAATTAATTTTAACATACTTGTTTATGAAATCTAAATAATCATTAAATATTTAATCACTAAATAAAATGAATAATAACTCTTAAACTGAACAGTCTTGTATATCCAACAATATGTTTCTAATTAACTCTCTCAACACAGGCTTGGTCAATTTGACCGCCCGTGTGTCCTTTTTGTACTCATCTAAAGTCTTTTTAGATTTAATACTTATAACTCTCAGTATGGTGTGTATATCTTCACGAAATTTGGCAGTCTTTCAGATAACATTATAAGTTTTTTTTAATAAAATAAAATAAAGATTTGTTCTTGAATATATCGAGTATTTGTTTTGAATATTCTGTATGCAAAGTAATTTTCATGTTAAGATTAAAAATACTTTTCTTTATCCTAAAGATCCCTAGTTTTCTTTGTGTAATCCCTAAATCCTTGTACATACATTTCAATTGTTGTTTTTCAGTAAAAATTTAGATTTGATAAATTACTTAAATTGACCTATCTCTATACAGGATTGGTAAATTTGACCGACCTCATAACTCCTACAAAAAAAAATTGAAATAGATATAAATTACCCTTTTTCTCTTTCTAAAATGACTTCAAATTGTAACATGAAACTACATTTGTTTATCTTAAGTAGCATGAAGCTCATAACACTATACATCTATTTATAATTACCTTTTATTGTTTTATTGCCCTTTGAACTGTGTCTAACCACTGTCCATGCCACTATAAGTTGAAAATCACTTCGGAGAACATGCAGCTCATGTTACTTTATTGAATTACATTACCTACAAGCTACTACGAGCTGCTCATGTGCATACCTCATGAAACATTTTTATTATATTATTATTACTTATTTTACCTAATCTAATCTTAAATAACTTTAAATAATCTGTATTTTTATATATTAGTTACTTTTATAATAATAAGTAAAGTATAAATATGAAAAACAAAAAGTAAGGTACTTACCCAATCTTATTTTTTCTTGCTCTGACAGTTAAGCCTACTTTTTTATACTAATTTTATACCTAGTAAGTTTTTAATTTTTATATTTTAGTTACTTTTATAGAATTAACTAAAAATATGCATATAAAACAAATTTAGTACTTACATTTGGCCTCTTGTTTTTTTGCTGTAATTCTACATATGAAATGTAAGCATGCTGTTTTTATAAAGATGGTACTAGTATATCAAATAACTTTTACTTAATTGAAGAATGCACATAAAGACACAGAATAATAACATGCACAAGGCAATGTCTTATAACTATTGTAAATTAAGTGGCTTTTTAACTAAGACATAATTGCCTTAAAATAATTCTCTTAGCTACTTCTTCTTAACTCAGCAGTAGCTACTTGCAGACTGTAGGCGAAATAAGTAAAGCTCTGTACTGATAACAACCTAGCATTATACCTCATTTGGTTGATTAAAATTTTCTCTTTCTATTGGCTATAAATGATTTAATAGAAAATCTCAGAATTATTGCCTATTTGTGAAAGAGAGGATGTGACAGGTGGATGTGGCAAGTGGTTCTGACTATAATTTATGCCTATATTGAAGACTATGAATATTAGACTTTGCCTTAGAAATACCTGTACTATATTGTGTAATTTACATTAAATTCAAGATATCAGTATGGGGTGATGCAAAAACAGAGGATGGTAAAATAGAGTGAACAAATGTCACGGTTTTCATGCAAGCAGAGATTGAGGATTTATTTAAATATTTCCTTTTAAAATTAAGAAATTAAAACTTTATTAAAATTTGATTTATTAACCATGTTTTGACACCAAGTTTATTTTTACACATTGATAATAAAGTACATAATTAAATTTTGAATATAACTGTAAAATGTCCTAACATGCACATTTTGATCTGCCCATAGCAAGAAAAATTATTTTAAAAAATAAGAAGAATTACTTTCTCATAGAGACAACATTAATTGTAGAATAGGATGTAGATGCTAAAACTTTCTTAGAAGAACAACAATTTCAATGCTTCTGTGTTTTTGTAAAGAGAAGTTTGAAATTTATAGTTTTAAATATAGTACAAATAGTGTACAGTTTTATATACTGGTAGAGCTTCTATATTCTTATAGAGTTTGTATGTACTGGTAGCATTTTTACATATTGATAGAGCTTTGAAATTGTTATATGTCAAAGGTTGTAATTACCATATACATTTTTGGTTACCTGTAATTTCAGTTTTTCCCAGTTTTATTTTCTTATTAGTTTTCATTTACAGAGGAGACAATTGTAATCACTTTTAAATATATTTTTGATTGAAGAGTTGTTGATATTTTGTATATAAGATTAAGGATTAGAATTGCTAAGGACAGCATTTTCAATCTCATCAATTTTAGAACTACTACAGTGAACATAAAAAAAGACTGGAATTCACACATTGAAAAAGCAAGATAAAATTTACTGATGTTTATAAATTTAAATCTAGTATTAATTTAGCATAATATCTGCAATAAATGTGTTTATTTACAGACATGTTACAAAGTACTGTAAGCAGATGAAGTTTTTTTTAAAGCTAGTAAAATGACAGTATTAAAATATGTTTTTAAAAAGTGTTTGATTCATAAAACACAAAACACTGAAACGTGCATTCTTTATCACTGTATTTTCTGTCTTGGCAACATTGAATTTGTTTTATAGTGTAAAATAGATAAACCAAATGTATGTGATTATTAATAATCATATTTGAAATATATATAGAGAGAAATTCAGGTTTTTGTTTTGCAGCTTTCATAAAAATTGCTATGAAATCAAAAGTTTTCTGTTTATCAAATAAAACCATTACAACTTAGCGTACGGAAATCTGAAAAATGTAACTGTTATTCATATATTTTTTTATTTAAAATATCTATTTTATTTTTTAACAAAGCCTTTATATCCATAAGCCTTTTTTAGTCAGAATACTTCATATTCATCAAGTACAACTGGCAACTTAGTTTGTCTGAAATGGTGTATACTGCATTTTGTACTGAAGTTTTTTGTATGCATTTGTTCATGAATTTTGTTTTTTAACATTTAGTCAGTAGGAATTTGCAGCGCAGAATGTAAAAAAAAATCATTGTTTACATTAATGCTGCCAAACTGAAATAGTGATTATTTATATATAAACAAACACACATATAATGTAAACAAAACATTTTTTAAACAGTTAACTTTATATTCAAATCAAAAGGATGGACTGCACTTAAAATTGCAAGACCAAACCTATGTCAAAATAGAACTTATTCATAATTTAAGACAAGCCTTAATAAAAATGTAATGTTGCATAACCAAAGTAAATGAAGTCACCAGGACACAGGCTATAATGTGAGAATTATAAAATGTGTCCTAGTCTTTGGAGGTGACTGCAGAAGTAGGACCCACATGGCAGTTTTTCTGTTTGCCAAGCCTCTATATAAAGAATAAGAGAGCAAAATGTGGGTACTGACACCCACAACATCCCACATTTACATCAACCTTCACTATCTGCAGACAGTTTGTGAGAAGGTGACTGCTCTCTGAAGAAAAGAAATTAGGTCCTACCATTGGAGCAACCTGGTTGGCATTCCAGGATCCATCATGGTAGTGAAAACTCAAATTAATCAGGTAAAATAAACAGCAAACAAAAAACAATTTATACAAGAATAAAATAATAATATCCCTATTGAGTTGTGTGAACTAGTATAACACTCATCATCCACCCCTAAGTTTTATTATATATTCTTCTTAAACCTGGGAATCAGCGTTTCTTGGACACCTACTGTAGATAAAAGCAATGTATTATTTTGTTGTATTAAATTAAGTATGTTTCTTACTTTATGTGTGATTGAGGATTTGTGAAATGTAGGAGTATTTATAGTTTTATATATAGTTTTGGTTTTAAGTTTAGAGGTACACATTTTTGAATATCTGTATATGTGTGTGCTAGATCCCCATAGTTTAGAATTTTCAGATATTTGTGTGGCTCCTTTGCAATCAACCTAGTGTGTTTTTTTAGCTGTAGAATAAATGATGTGAAAAAACTATTTATCCAACAGGCAAAAAGATAAATATTGTCCAGAGTATCATACAATATGAATTACACACCCTTGTCCATTTTCTACAACATTGTTGAATAACCACAGCATTTATGTGGATACAGATTTTTTTCCTTTCTCTTTTTCTCAATTACTTGATTTTGTCAAACTTTATTAGTGCTTTCTAAAGAATGTTATTTGCTGTAATTAAGTTACTTTATTAAATAATTATATTGTACAAGTGATTCATTTACTAATTGTATTTTATTTATATAAGACAAAAGGAAAAAGCTGTATGACTTTTGTCCATGTCTTAGAAAAAATGTAACATAATAGAAGGTTTGATAGTTTGTTGATTGGGCTTATTGTCATGAAGAATCTTATATGCCCAAACCATTGATGAATAAATTCATTTTACTTGAATATATATGTGTGTTTGTGCACACATTAATAATTTTTATTTTATTTGGAAATTTTTCTTTATTTTTTTAACATGCAAACTTCTGTTTTCCTTATTTCCATACTACTTGTTGATTATTTTTTATTTTTTTCAGTACCCTTATTGCGGGAATTCTTCCATTTGGTGCCATGTTTATTGAACTCTTCTTTATATTCACTGTAAGTCAAAATATTGCATTCTAGAAACTTTTGTGTAACTGTTTAAAAAGATATTATAATAACTCTTTATTAGAGATATGGGATTGTGCATAAAAAATGTATAATAGTAAAATGATTTACTTATATTGTCACACAGTGGGTCAGCAGTAAGTTTCTAGACTTACAATGCTAAAATTCTGAGTTTGATTCCCCATTTTGGACAATGCACAGATTGTCTGTTGTGTAGCATTGCACTTGAAAAACCCGATAAAACATAAAGTTGCATTGTAACAATCATCCTAATAATAGCTTATGCAGTACAAGAAATTTGTTGCTCAGATTTTCTTCCTTTTTTTTACTATTTTCTCAAATTGTATTTGTTCATTATGTATATGTGTTTTTGATTTAAATAAATTGTACTTTCAAATTAGGCCAATAGGAGTACACTCTTTGATAGTAAAAAGTATTAAACCTACATTGTGCTGCTGATTTGAATACTAGTTAAAGCATGTGTTGTCTCTGTGGTAGAACTGTGGCTTTTGGAGTTGAGGAATTAGGTTTGAATCCTTGCGATACCACAAAACATTCCTTGCACTTTAAACTGGGGATACCTTATAAGAATGGAAAAGTTCTGCTGTCTGCACACTTTCTCTCTCTGATCACTAATTCAAAATTAAAGATGACAGTTTTAGTAGCTTTGCCATAAATAGAAATAAAAAATAAAGTACTAGTCTACTGTTTTGGTAAGACATATATGTTCCATGTAAATCAAAACCAGGTACATAAAAACAAAAGTCTGTAAAATTTTTATACAGAAAAATATGATTTGCATATCCTTTGATAATGTTACACTAGGTTTGTTAAACAAGTAGTACTACATTCTTTACCTCTTGTCTTAGAATTTTAATTTTATTACCTTATTAAATTCATCAAACATTATAAAACGGATTGTAGTATAACTGAAAAAAAAATCTGCTGAAAAACTAATTGACTGATTTTAATTTTAATTGATGTGAAAGTTTACCGCAATATCTACCAAATTCATTTATTAGATGGCATTACAGTACACATTTTTCTATTTTCTGAAATAAAAAAATATTAACCTCCTTTCACAATATGCTGTGGTGACCTAAAGATTATGTTATAGAAAATATATAAAAAGAGTTTAGAGAAATCTGTGAATACATCTGAATTAGAATTTTATAGCAGTTGATGGAAAAAAAGTGTAAATGATGATTATTTAAGTAATCTCTCATAGCTTAACTCTGCTAGTTTTTATAGAATGATCTATGTATTGTTTTATAGGCAGAAAATGCTATGAAATTTTGACATTGTAGCAAAAGTTTTTTGCGATTTTCACAGGCCATTTGGGAAAACCAATTCTACTATCTATTTGGGTTCCTCTTTCTCGTCTTCATCATCCTTATCATTTCTTGTTCCCAGATATCTATAGTTATGGTTTACTTCCAGTTGTGTGGAGAGGTGAGTATTTTTAAATTTTTGGTTACTTAATGTATCTGAAGGCTATATAACTACTCTCCATAGTGCCATACCTACATGTTTAGCACACTCACTACAGGTTCAGTTGGATTATCTGAGTATGTGACCCCAAATTGACTTTTATAGTTTCTATACAATAACTTTTTCATTTTGTGTATCTTCACAAAATTATGCAAGCTTTCAGTAAACATTATGTCTTTTGTAGACAAAAAATCTGAATTTTAATGTAGCTTCACTAAAAATTTCTCTGTCGGTATATGGAGTCAAAGTGTTGACTTCTCTGAGTGCAAAGTGATTTTATTTTTAAGACTAAAAATACTTATCTTCATATGAAAATTGTCAAATTTTATTTGTGTAGTCTCTAAAACCTCCTAAATAAATTTCAAAGTTTTTTTCATTAAAACTTTATATTTTATCTGTTATTTTCTTTACCTTAACTCTAACTGATCGACCTTGTAACCACCATAAAAAATAAGAAATGAATCTAAATTACCCTTTTTGTACTGCTCACAAGTGAACCTTGTGAAAAATTTTAATTATTATTTCTTTATTTTACCTAATCTAACCTAAAATGTTTCTCATTTTTACATTTTAGCTACTTTTATAATAGTAAATAAAGAATACACATGAAAAACAAGAAATTTAGTACTTACCTGGGTTTTCCCCTTTTTTTTTGCTGTCGATTGTCGATGAAACATAAACCTATTTTTTTATACTAATGGTACTGCTGCACTAAAAATTATTTGTTTAATTATATAATGCACCTAAAAACACAGAATATTAACTTGTAAAAAGCAAACAACATCCTATAACTATCATAATTTTTCTTCCTTTCTAACTATACAAAAAAGAGCCATTAAAAATTCATGTGTTTCCCATGAGAATAAAGTTTGAACTGGAAGCAAAATAGACAATTTTCTGTACAGAAAATGACACAGTATAATATGTCATTTGATAGATTAATACTTTGTCTTTCTATTGGTTATAAATAATATAGTATAAAGTGTCAGAGAAAACTATTAGCAATTTGTGTAAGAGAGGATGTGACAGGCAGACGTAGCAAGAGGAGTTTGATTTTCTAATTTATGACTCTGTAACCAATTAACCCTATTCGATGACGAGGAACCCACTTTGAGACTAATAATGGCTGGAGACGGCTTAAATGGGTAATGAAGAAAAACTTTAAAATAAGTTTAACATGACAGCAAATGTACAACGTTTCAACAAGGTTGACCTGATGATGACAAACCCTTGTCGAAACGTTGTACATTTGCTGTCATGTTAAACTTATTTTAAAGTTTTTCT